AAAAAAAAAAAAAAAAAAAAAAAGAAGAAGAGGAGCACAATACCACGTCTGGAATCTCGCGAAGACTCGTCGATTTTTCCTAATTCAACCATTTTCCATTATTTTTTTCTATCCTTTTGTTCCTCTTTTATCCGCAATTAAATCCACTTGGTTACGTTCGAACCGTTTCGAACCAATACGGACTATCGTGTACAACTCCTGTTTTACTAACCGAATAATAATACGCTTTTCAATGTTGTTTTCCCATATGGATATGACGGTGCTAATTCAAGGATGAAATTGAATTTTTTTTTCTGTTTTTTTTTTCCACGTGTTTGTATTATTCGAAGAACACGATAGAAATATTGGTAAATGTAAAGCGAAACGTTATCCAGATAGATAAATTTTTTATTCTATACATCGATTTTTTATTTTTTAAAAAAAAAAAAAGATTGATAATTATTTATAAAAAGATATCATTTCCTGATCTCGATGATTTTTTTAATATCAGTTGTGAAATTTTTTACTCGATTGTTGATGTTTGTTAAAAAATTACTAATATTTCTTCGAGACAGTTTAAGTTAGATTATTGATCAGATTAAGATATCGATCAATTGAATCGTTTATATTTCGATTTATAAAATGAAATTAAATGTAATAATTAACCTAAATTAATTGCTCAAACAAAAATTTATCTAATTCTTAACTTTTACGGTTTATATTACAACTAATTTGACCTTACTTAACCTAACTCACTGTGATAATCTTGATAAAACTTAAAAAATTAATTGAGATCTGAGGATAATACCTTGTTATAAAAATTTATCCAAAATTTTCGAGAAGTTGCTACTCAAATACTTTTAGATCTTTGAATTATTTCTTAAAAATCTCAAAGAGGAAAACGGAAAATTCGTAGGATGAAAAGTGTCGAATTTGCCGTTAGGTTATGCAAAAGTCCTGCCGCTGCGGATTCATGTACGGGGAGTTGACGGACAAAGAGACGATCGCCAGGATCGAGGAATGCCTCGAGGGCCAGATTCACGATCAATTCGAGATCCTGCTGTACAAGAAGAACAGTAAGTACCGATTACCCCTATCGTCGCATGGGAGAAGCTTAAGTGTGGTGTTGGTGGCTTCTTTCCATCCTGG